AATCCTTCTATTTTATAAAGCGCTAACTTTGTGTGTCGGTTTGTGTATCTGTATGTGTGTGTGTGTGTGTGTATGTATGTATGTGTGTCCGTCCGCAAAATGAAGTGAGTGAGAAGGAAGCTCATGGGATAAACAAACCGCTAACAAATCGGGTAGCTTACAGGATTTGAGATATCAATGTTTTGTAGCAGGATAGTTGTGATAACACTCTTAGGGCTATATAAACACCTGCTTAGCACACTTCCGTTCATTCCACATGGTGCTGCAGTGGCAGCTGGAGGGCAGTGGAGAGAGGAAGGGAGGATGAGGAAGGGAAGCGAAAAATCTACCGTCATATCATGATTGTGTCCCTTCTACTGTATGAAACACCATTGTGTTGCATACGCGTCACTTCCAGGTGTTGGTGTCACAGGAGGAAGGGACCATAGCGGAGGATAGAAAGCTTGCGCAGGAAAGGAAGGTCCCGGCGGTTGACGGGGGACTAATCTGGTAAAGGATAAAGACCTGCTGGTGATCAATCCCATTTTGGGATGATGGGCGTGCCGCGTTTTTGAAAGAGGGATGTGCCCTAACAATGCACTGCCGATGGCCGCTGAGTATACAAAACAGTGTTTTTATCCTCCAACAACAACTCTGATATTGAATTTACCCAAACCCCTGAGGGTAAAAGGGGGCGGGAAATTTTTTTGGGAAGGCTTGGTTGGCTCGGATGACGCACGACCCAGAGTTTGATTCTAGGACCGCGCGAGTGGTAATTATGCCACTTCCCACTACACACTGCGTCCTACGAAAGAATTTTCACTAAATTATCAGAAATAAAATTTAGTAAAGTCAGACTTCCTTTCAAATCCAGAAAAAACTTCAGCCAAACCAAAGGATTTATTTCAATATTTACAGCCGCGATCCGATGTTATCGCCCATAGTCGCTTTCCAATGAGTCCCAAAGATCGGAATGGAGGCCTGATACGTGGCGCGTACGAGCTCATTGACATTGTCTGGACCGAAGAAATTTATTTTTTCTCGTTGCAAAATTTTCTGTTCCCAGAGCAAAGATTTAATTCTTGAAAAATGAGATCTGTGCAGCCAGATAAGTGTCGGTAATAAGGAAATACTAGAAGGGCGCATACGTCAGCGCCAGTGATCCCACGCGTTTCGAATGTCCTGGGAAGACGAAATTCAAATGCGCAGCCGTTTTTTCTTCCTCATTGTGTTCTCTGTGATTCTGCGGTGAATTGTGAGGGGGCGAACAGCCAACGCTGGAGTAGGTAGCTGCCCATTTTCTCAAAGTGATCATGAAGACGCCTTATATTCTAATGACGTCATTGAACGTCATTGCGAGTAACACGCTGTCTTCATGAAAGGTGTGAAAGGGCATGAATTGGTGGTCCTGGCCACATCCCCGGCGCGCTCAGGAGTGAGTCCACCAAGGAGGTCCATGACGTCATCAAAATCGCACCGCACTCTGGTCATCGTAATCTTAAGGTGAATTCATTGCATTAGTATGAGTAAGCAGAGGTTACTTCCATGGTTGAGCAGAGTGGACATGGAAAAGTTGTTAGAAATTAGAACTAAATCTGGCCTACCAGGGAAGGTCTTTCAGGGCGTGACGAGCTTTTTGAAAACGGTCTTTTGCATGATATAGGGGCAGATGCGGGGACCACAGAACCATGTTTAATTTTTCCTGAACGGCCCTCTGAATACCAGAAAAGGGGGTCCCTAGTTCGATTCCTCTTGGTGACAAATTTTTGCATTTCGAGTTGACGTTCCAAAATTCGCGCAAAATGGAGTTCTGATTGTTCTGGTTGGTTCTAACTCCATTTTGCGCGAATTTTGGCACGTCAACTCGAAATGCAAAAATTTACCACGAGGAATCGAACTAGGGACCTCCTTTTCTGGTATTCAGAGGGCCGTTCAGGAAAAATTGAACATGGTTCTGTGGTTCCCGCATCTGCCCCTATATCATGCAAAAGACCGTTTTCAAAAAGCTTGTCACGCCCTGAAAGACCTTCCTGGTAAGCCCTGGAAAAAGTAGAGCAATCGCTTGCTGACATAGCGGGAAAATCCGGCAGCATAAAACTTTAAAATGCGCGAAAAAGATCGGAAAGGAATACGACTTTGGGTCATACCGTCAGCAACAATGGGAGTTTTTTAGGAACCAGCGAGACTGAAACGGTTTCACCTTGAAGTTGAGGAATCGAACTGTGAACCGATGGTGAGGCTACTGGTACTGTGGCTAGAGCAGTGTAGGGTTCCCAAGAGGCCAGTCGCGCGGCGAAGGAAGAGACGCAGATGCGGCAAAGGACGAGTTCGCAGCGCGTGCTGTGCGATATGAGACGTAGTATGGCACACTCTATTATAACCTGACGCCTAACCGCTACAGTATGCGCTGCGACTCGTCCTTTGCCGCGTCTGCGTCTCTTGCCTTCGCCGCGCGGTGGGTTTCTCCTGCGGGACAGCCGACACAGACACGATGGGAACCAAAGAGCAATGAAATCCCGGCTCAATTGAACCATCAATCATTTCAGGTCGCAATCAGTAAGTTTTGTCGTGGTGGGTAGTTTAGCAGCGCACCCAAAAGAGGTTTGCACACCCCGTCACATCAGCAATTGGCTGGATATAACAGCTGATATCACTAAATGAATTTTTCTGCCAGTGACACGTTCATTCAATTAGCCTACTTTGCCATACGTGGCTGCAGGCCTGTCGGCTTAGTAATTGATTCTGGTTGTAAGCTAAGAGCTGATCAAATGCAGCTCTTACCTACCCACTTTATTCAGGGGAATTATCGCATGGCCCATATAATTCTCGAGTTATCGTCCTGGTGAAAAAAACTGAGTGTCAGACTTTACTTACGGATGCAGTGGAATTGCGTTCTGTTGCAAATCGTACGGTCTTCTGAAAGCCGCTCCCTTAACAGCGTGCTGAAGGAGCCAGCAAATGGTCCGTCTGTTTCGCTTCTGTAGACAAGTGCAGAATTCTAAAATCAAAGCTTGACTGTGAAGCACAACTATCGGCTAAGCTATATATCCAAACTCAAGACCATGGCTAGAAAAAGGCTTCATGTGCCGGGTCGCGACCTGCACCACTTTTAAATCCACTATCATAAAAAATCATAAAAATCAAACCAATGCATAAAACTTCGCGCTCTGCATTTTTATCTGATGATATTTTTACTATTTCATTATCATCATGAGTTATTTTTATATTATTATGAATTATATTATATCTGATTATTTTATCAAATTTATTTCTTATTTTTTTTTATTTTTTATGTTATTTTTGCATAAAATGAGTTACAGCCGCTAAGTCACGTATTACCTTTGAGGAAATGTTCAACATTCGCGATAATTGCTTTAACTCCAGTAATGTATAGCGTGTTCTTACAGTTAACCACAAACACTATCTGCGATTTTACTGCAGTTAGCTTGGTCCATGCTGGTGCTTCGGATAGAGGAGATGGCGAAATACTGTATTTGTGCGTGAGTGCCATAATACAGAATAAAACCACTAACCTGCCTGAATAGATCCCACCCCAAGCAGTCTTGTAGACGGCGGTGCGTCGACAGGGGCGTGTGCACCCAATTGGCCTCTTTCTAGCCTAAAAAATCGAGTTTTCGATATACCGCGTTCATAAAATCCAACTCAACCATAATGCCAATGCACTCACAGTTGTACCGTATTCGCGGCCCATGGCAGCCACATACGGTGAAAATCGACCAGGGTACCATCTTTGTCGAAAATCACCAGTTTCACTTCGTTGCCGACCGTCATCTGAAATGGAAACGGTTAGACCACAGAGCCGAAGCACAAGAAAATAGCGCACGTTTTGACATGAGAGCGAAAAAATTTGAAAACACGACACCATAGATATTGTAGAGAAAGGTAGAAAATGCTCGCCATCAAGTAATTCCTCGCGCAGTGCGGCGTGTACCATTCTTTGATGATCCAGTTCGACTGGAGCTGCAGGGAATTGATTTAGCTGATTTCATGCATTTAACGTTAATACAGAGAAGACATAAGGTTTAGGTAGTCTACCCTTCAAGACGATCGGGCGGCTATATTGGTAGGGCAGTATGGAAGATCGAAAGCTAGCTTAGTAGAAACAGGGAATGCCGATATAAAAATCGCTCGTTATATGGTGAGCTTTAGCCGCTGCTCTAACTTCATTCAACTATGTGGAAGAAGTAAGAACCGATGTGAATTGCAAAGATGATTTAAGGAAAAGGTGCAAAACAGTCATTGGTTGCAGTTGCAAAGTGGCGAGTTAGAAGTCCAATTAACTAAAATCGATATGTGAAGGGAAATGCTCGGATGCTCGCAGCTTTAAAAAGAGATAAATCAGATATGCCCAAAACAATACGCCATGAGAGCATCAGGGAACGCCCTTTTGTCCATATCAATTTTGAAACACTAGGCAGGCGCAGCGGCGAAAGGCGTACCGTTGCGCGTACGCATTCCGGAGGATCGCTGCCCGTGCGCACCAGCATACCTAGGTATACTACTGTAGTCGGTAGTTCGGTAACATAGTGCCCTAACCAAATGAAAAAGGCAGTCATGAAGAGGAGCAAGCCGTCTTAAGACAATGTATGGACCAGTGACGCATTCAAGTGCATCTACCGTCTCGAAGTAGAATTTGAATGCTCAGTGCAGAGCCGGAGCTGATCTGATCTAGAGGTGAGCTTTCCAGCTGCCCTGCTCCTCGGCTCGTGCTCGCTGGATATCATCTAAAAGAAACCTAGTTAGACATAAACAAAAACGGAATCAGCAATAGTCTGCGACTTGAAGCTTCAAGCGTGCTCTTCCTGTTGCACTTCCAAGGCTGATGAGCTTCCTTGTGCTTCGACCCCTTATTTTTCCGACATATCAATGGTGCCGACGTCCCTAAAAGGAGGGAAAAGAAACTCGGCTCGCTTTTTTATGGGTGTGCTTCATTCTTCGCAATGATGTCGTGCTATTCTGTCTACGCTCTTTGGAGCAGAGGTGCCTTTGCAGATGAAAGTAGTGTCGAATAGGAGCATTAAAAGAAGTCGATATCAAGAACTAGGGCATAAGATAGAGTTCGGACACTTGTTCAATCCTTCAGATATAAAGATGACTACCAAGAATTACGGTGAAAGATAGCTTATGGGATGCTCTTCTCGGCGGTCACTCCAGGCTCCGCCCCCGACAGCCTCGTCCCCGGAAACAGTACGCACTAAAAATAGATATGGAAATTAAGATGGTGAGATTTGGGACCAGGGTGAATAACGGTCGAGGAATTCCTCGACCATGGCTCTCTACTGTGCGAGAGTAGTGCCGAGAGTGAACATCCGCGCGGAGAGCACAGACGGCTCGCGCATGGCGAGTGTGAATGTCCGCGCGGGAGAGCGTAACTGATCAGGCGAAAATCCTCGACAAGCCGTTGAGGAATCTCGACCGATATATTCACCCTGTTTGGAAGGTTTCTTGCTAACAGAACACCACAATCGAATATTTCGAGCTGTGAACTTTCAACTGGTTGTATTCTCCAGAAATGTTGAAAGACCGATCTTCACCGAATAAGAAGGCAAAGCTCGCTGTCGATCCATAGAGGGCAGAGATGGGTCGCCAGTTGCACCTAAGAATGGAGATAATCAGAAAGACGCCGTAAGCTCCTTGTTAAGCCAGCTGACTAGCTCTGCGATGGGACTTTTCATAGGTGGACATGGCCGTCTTTAACGTCAACGCCCTCGTTCTTTTAACGCTTAGAAGGGAAGACAGGCGAGAGGGGGCGACGGCTACAGGCTAACGTAAGGCACCTAATACGCCGCGAAGAACTGCCATGCTAGATTGTCGCGCAATACCTCAACCTGCGAATACTGCGTGTCGTTGCTGTAACCACATCTCGAAGCGTCCCACTGTCTCCGCTAGGTGACAAATCACATATTCATCTATATATCACTCATCGACTTCAGCGGAATCTTCTTCCGATTATCATACGGACATCGCTATATAATAGAGCAACTAGGCTTGCTGAAGCATGTGTAGGCGCGACACTGTTATGCCGTGGATGCGACTCACACCAGAAATCATTTAAAATGAGCTCGTTTTGTAGAATGTACACAATGAATTACGCCTTAGGAAGATTGTAGAGAATTAGTATACAGGGCAGTTCTGATGCTGACGAACCTGGGAGGCTGAATAGTAGGGCTCTAAACGGGCATTAATTTTCGACGCGTAGATTAGTAGTCCCCCGTCAACCGCCGGGACCTTCCTTTCCTGCGCAAGCTTTCTATCCTCCGCTATGGTCCCTTCCTCCTGTGACACCAACACCTCGTGGAAGTGACGCGTATGCAACACAATGGTGTTTCAAACAGTAGAAGGGACACAATCATGATATGACGGTAGATTTTTCGCTTCCCTTCCTCATCCTCCCTTCCTCTCTCCACTGCCCTCCAGCTGCCACTGCAGCACCATGTGGAATGAACGGAAGTGTGCTAAGCAGGTGTTTATATAGCCCTGTGAGTCACAACTATCCTGCTACAAAACATTGATATCTCAAATCCTGTAAGCTACCCGATTTGTTAGCGGTTTGTTTATCCCATGAGCTTCCTTCTCACTCACTTCATTTTGCGGACGGACACACATACATACATACACACGCACACACACACATACAGATACACAAACCGACACACAAAGTTAGCGCTTTATAAAATAGAAGGATATGTGAAGCCATTTATACTGCAACCGCCTTAGATTTGTTCCCTATACGCCCATCCACGAAAAACATGAATATATCATTGTCACAAATAAGAAGGGATCCTAGTGTGATGTTACAGAGTATAAAATGCCAAGTATATCAGTGATAAATAGATACTGAATTACCCACAGAAGATGAACAGAAAATTGATAAGAGATGAATATGGGCGTCACCGGATGCTATTTTAACCCGCCCCCCCTCCCCTACCTTCAAGATGGCTTTAAGCTCAGACACCACAAAAAAGGTCCACTGACCTATTCCAGTAAAGACAAGAGGCTAGGAAAGTTGCTTCCGTGCAGCACATCAAAACTACACGGAGCCCTTCTTTCGAGGATTGTGTAGCCTTGCATACACGCAATTTACAAGTGTCTGGAACTGGCCGAAAGGCGAGAACAGCACTCCGAGAAGAAGAGATTGTAGGGACTGAGTGAGACCGCAGACACAGAGTGCATGCTGCACACTATCGCGCGACGCACAATGCTGCGTTACGTTTTCCCAAAGTTTCAAACCGTATGCTCGTAGAGCCTTTGTGAACTATTTAAGACACAAAGAAAATACTATATAGCTGTATTTGGTTGCATCATTCCAGGAGAGAGATTGCTTCAGAAGACTAACTTTGAAATAGGCCTCTATGTCTAATGTGCCGACAGGTAGAGTTGAATTTAAACCCCCACCGGTCAGTGAGAGGTTATGGGCCGAAATGACGCTCGTATGTTAAGCCGTCCAGGGCTTGTGTTAAGAAGATAATTGATTTCTGAACAACTGAAAGACTGAATTTAGACCTTTCGTTGTAGGAACAATCTTCAGAGTCAGCGTTTTCCGCAGAATGTCGAAAATTCGAATATCCCTATCTTCGAGGGATGGCTCGTCGACGAGCACGACGGCCTAGGGCAGATCACGCGACGGACAAGCCTAATAATTCCGTGTGCGTCAAGCCAATAACAACGCGAAACTAAGACGTATACCCCTGATTGCTATCCTCAGAATGATTGTTTAGTTACGAATAAAGGTATCGATTCCCACATCTCCTATTTTTGGGATACGGTACGCCCTCGCTTTCCGTTCAGCTTTGAATAGATATTTGAAGGGTAGTCAAATGGATATTTTTAGAAGTGTTGTGGTTCGACGCAATCAGATGTTGTCATGAAAGCTTTGAGCGAATAGTATGATGGAGCGCGTGTCCCTGGAGTGGAAAGGGCAGACCTCATAAGCCACCAATACGAAAAACGATGTAGCGTTCGCCTAACGGGAAGACATTAGGACAAATGATTGGCGCTATGGAATGGTTCTCGGTAAGTTAGTAGTGCTAAATTATGGGTTCTAAATCAGGGTATCAAAACAGGCTCAAATGGTTGATTTAGGAACGGGAAGTGGTTAGTTTATGCTCGGCTGCGAGTTGATCTGGCAACTTGTGCTACCATGGAGCAATGCATCTAACCACTGAGCTTCTCCTATTCACCCTGTGACACTAGGCTGTCCACGAAGGTAAACAGTTGAAAATGTCGGGTATTAGCGAATTTGGTCTTATCCAGGGAAAATTTGGCTCTTTCTGGAAGGCAGAGACCACCAGAGATCAAGTTCCAGACTTCCAATCGCCAGACTCTGCAAACCGTTTCGAAAAGGAGCTACTGAGGCTTCCCTAACATCTTAAAAATTCTTTTGTTGCCGACTAAATTCAATAGAACGCTTTATTTTTCTCTGAGAACCTCCTGCACTTTCCCTTTGCTCTCCCCTACTAAGAAATTTAAGAATTATAGTGTGAGATTTTCTGGTTTTTTGCGTGAGAACATACGATTCATTGAAGGCATTCTTGGTTTCACTGAGTTTTTCGTGGCTGACGTTTGCAAAGCCCCTTTTTAGCTGCTTACTGAGAGTACCGTATGCTAAGTACCAAGTTAGCATGGCTTCATATAGCTTATCATTACCCAGGCGAGAGGCCTTATCGTTAGTGTTTTACTTTGTGATTCTGAGTAGGAGGGCGTAGTAAGAAGGGACGGAACTGGTGAAGTGGCAAAATGCGTTGCACTACGCGCACAATGCAGGGATCAAATCCTGGACCGTACGTCGCCCAGCCAACCAAGGTGCTATCCCTCCAGGGTCGGCTTAATTGGTACCAGACTTGTCTGGAAGGATAAAACACTGACTTGCACATCGGCTGGCCCACGGGTGATTGTGTGGCCGATTGTGCACATTCAGAGTGCCACTACGATTCTGAATGGAGTAGAATGCGTGGCACATCCGAAAAGGAAATAATTCACGCTCGTTGCTTCATTCTTTCAAGTAGGGCTCGTACTTGGCTAGAGCAGGTTTTATTCCTGGAAAATGCAGGAAGAGAATTTTTTTAAAGAAGTTGGGGAGATTTTCGCAAAAATTAAAGGAGAAAATTATGAAATTCAAGCCGAATACATGTCTTTCCTTCTAAAGGACTGTTCAACGAAAAAAAGTTCATGTGGGGGAGGAGGGCGAAGGCGGTCGGAAATCCTAAAATCTCGATCAAATATCGGAGACACACGGTATGGTTCACATTCCCTGATACCGACTGCTAAGCTCCTTCGGGCGTGAATGACAAGTCAATATTTCGGATATG